TAACGCGAACCCTAGCCCTAATCCAACATGGATTCAAACCAAAATTAAGTAAAGCGAATAATTAACAGAACCGTAGGCTGTGCTGTATTTGGGAAGTAAACTGAACCTAATCCCGTTAACAAAAGGGTGACAGTCAACCCTAGAGGGCATGATTAGCTTAACGCGAAACCTAGCCCTAATCCAACATGGATTCAAACCAAAATTAAGTAAAGCGAATAATTAACAGAACCGTAGGCTGTGCTGTATTTGGGAAGTAAACCCTATTTTGTGCATTGCTAAATAAATAATAGCCTAATGATGCTTTTAAATTTTGTGGAGTTTTAAAATCAGTGCCTTGAATGCAGGAAAAGGAGTCCCCAAAAATCAGCCATAGCCATTATTTGCCCCCTTTTCTAAAAGGTTTTATTTCTATGCACTTTTAAAATCACTCCCTCGAATGCAGGAAAAGAGCAGCCCAGAGTGATTACCTTAACCCTGGCCCCAACCCCAGTCCTATATGGATTTAAATAAGGCCTAAGTGAAGTGAAAACCACAGACAGCTTTACCATTTGTAAAAGTTAAAGAAACATTGTTTGCAAATTTTAACCTGAAAATACACACACACACGCACACACACACATTTGCAGATTTAGCAAATAACATGATTACATATATACATGTAAACGTTTTGAAGCAAGACTTTAATTCCATTCCCTCCAGCAAAGCCAAGAAAATTTAGAAGATTAGAACCTTAATTCTGGACATGTGCACAAGTCAGTCAAGTGACAGCTGGTAAAAAGGGGAGGGTGGGGTGGGGGTGTCCAGGCATGTCTGGGCAGAACCTACACATGTCCAGACATGTTGGAATCATGATTCTGGGCATGTGCACAAGTCGGTCATGTAACAGTTAGTAAAAAGGGGAGGGTGGTGTGTGGGAGGTATGTCCAGACATGCCTGAGCAGTTGCTGCAGTTTGAAGATGGCAAATACTGACAATGATTTGTTTGATGTAAATTAAACCCCAAAGCCTCCAAAGCATTGGCTTAGAAGTCAGAAAAGACATCACACTCCTGAGCCATGGGGCAACTCAAGGCCACTGCTGACAGAATCCAACAAAATCTGTTGTGGGGTTTTGATAAAGAAAATGGTGTCTTCAGACTGGTTTTGTCATAAGCCGTTTTGTAATTTTAATGAAAATTTTAGTGGTGAGGAACAGAGAACAGAGGAATATCCTGCAATACTTACCAGGCAGCCCGTGAAATGGTGAAGGAACCATCTTTAGCCCACAGCAAAGGATACCAAGTGGGTAAGTAACTGGTTTTATTTATTGTTATGTAAAAGCTGGTGGAGCAGATAGCACACCAACAGGATATGATTTATATTTGCAGTCTCTGAATTAACGGCACCTAGGCAGCTTTCAGTTCAAAGGAGGCCACTTTTATTTTCCTGTGGTAATCACTGCTGTCACAAATCTTCTGAAGATTTTTCTGATCTAGAATATGGCTGAGATTCCATTCTGTCAGAGAGGCCGTGCTATTTGCACTGTGAGTAAAAGAGCAGCAATTCAAGTGAAGACTGGCTTGCTTGCAACTGTGGGTATGATTCGCAATATACAACCATCCAGAAAGGGCGACATACTGTAAAATAGTGTTATGACACCTCATCTTCTGAAGATGATAATCGGGGATATGTTTCCAATGTCATAGATATGTCCCTCTGTACTCTGTATTACCAATAAAATCATGTGTTAAAGGCAATGTGCGATCATTTTGTCAGAGGTCTTTCGGTATAATAGTCACTTTTTGTGAGATGGGCGGTATCTAAATTTGAAATATAAATAAATAAATAATAAATAAAATAATAAAATAATAAAGTATGAAAAGATTCTAAGGGGCATTTATTATACACCTGGTTGTGTAGGGGGTTACAGAGACGTGAATTCTCTTTTTTTTCTTTTTCAGGAGGGAAGAAAACATGATAAAAACCTGTCCATGAAGTGAGTCAAGATATGGCTTTCAGGACAAGATGCTTATACCCTTCATAAACCTGCAAGAATTTTCCTAGAAATAAAACAGTGGTGTTTGACTTAGATCAGCAAAGGCAGGCTGATCTCAGGATGTCTTTTCTAAGGAAAACCATGGAAAAAAGTTCATTTTAACAGTTATCAATGTGCTATCCAAATATGCCTGGGCCTTCCCTTTATCTGATAAGTTGGGAAGTGAGGTAACTGCTGCCTTCCAGAACCTCTTCCAAACAAGGCATGCACTGTGAAAAATACAAACAGATGCCGGTAAAAAATTCTTAAATATTCCTCTGAAGAAACTTTTAGCACGTTATGGCATTAATCATTTTGTCACCCCTAGTGAGACTAAAGCAGCTGTTGTAGAGAGGTTTAGTCGTACCTTGAAAAATAAACCCTGGAGATATTTTACAGCTAGAAATATCGATCAGTACCTGGATATTTTGCCTGCTATTCTTCAGGGGTACAACGGCACTTTCCATCATAGCATCTGAGCTGCCCCTAATATCATAAATTTGTCTAACAAAAGAGAGGTGTAGGCAAGACTGTATGGGAAACTTTTAAGAAGTAAAAGAAAGGAAAAATATGTTAAGGTAGGTGATCATGTCAGGGTATCCAGACTGATATTAGGGGCATATATTGTTCCCTGGATTCTGCACCAAAAAATTCACCTTTATAGCAGATGTGTCTGGAGGATTCAGCACATTATATGTTTATGCAGACATCCTAAACCTACAGATAGTGGGTGACTTCTATGTGCCATTACTGCACTGTGTGCCTATGTGGGACAAGTCATTGATTTCATTATGGTGACCTATGACTGCCCACGTTATGTCCTGGTCAACAAACATTACATTGATATTGTTACTGTAGAAATCAAAACTGACCAAAACAAAAATGTCCATTTTTATCATGGGAAGGTGGTTGTCAAGCTTCATTTTAGGCCTCAGAAAAGTGAAGGATGGTTGTGATCAAGGAACATGAGACCCCTCCAGACTACATGGCTTACCACAGGGTACAAATTGAGAGTGATCTTGCAGGTTTCTGAGGAACCCCCATCATGTACGGGACAGGTTTAGGAGGGTTGTTCTGTGGACCTTTTCAAAAAAGCAATGCCTGTTCTGAGGAAAGAATTAGAAATCATTAAATCACCCGTGAAATCTGCAGCCAAGAGCATCATCAGACATGTAACAGGTCAACTTATATGCTATGTTGTT